CCCACATTGATTTGTCTACTGGGGGATTCCTCAGTGTTGTTGCAGAAGATTCTGAGATGTGCTCTACGGTGCACGTTGTTTTCATGCAGGGTGGCGGCATGGCTTGTTGATGCTCTGGGTCCAACTGAACTACACACTAAAATATACCCAACACTCTCCTGCGACATCACATTGCTGGGAAGCCTGGTAACATCCAGTTCACACCATTTATTTGGCTAAATAAGGGAGCCAGTGCAGTGCAGTGGTTAGAGAGTTAGACTAGGATCTGGGAGAACCAGGTCGGAATCCCCACACTGCCATGGAAGCTCACTGGACGACCTTGGGGGTCAGTCACACACTTTTAGCATAATCGACCTCACAGGGTTGCTGTGAGGAGCAAGGACAGAATGGAGGAGAGAATGATGTCAGCTGCTTTGGGCCCTCACTGGGGTGAAAGGCAGGGTATAAATGAAGTAAATAAGCTTAAAATTTACACAAAAAATTAAATAAATAAAATTTATACAAAGCACAAAGGGCTCTTCTGATCCAAAGTGCCACCCAAAGTGCCAAAATATTCATTATATACAGTAAATACCTAATTTAGAGTTATAACTATCCAGTTAGTGCTGAGATTATTTTAGCCGTCCAAATTATCTCTCACCAGCTATATCTGTTGATCATCTCGGTTCAACTGCCTTGAGTCATTAAATGGAGACTGGAGAAACTTGGCATACAATTGCAATGTAAAAGTGCTCCCAATATTAAGATACAGTAATTATTTGAAAATGTTTGCACCTTATCTTCTGGGCAGTTACTGTGATTAATGCTGTCATGGGTAACCTATTTGTCTTGGGCCAAAGCAGAGTAGCAATTTTCAGTCAGACACTAAAGTGCACCAATTATAAAGTCCCCAAATAGATCTTTTCTGGATGGCAGGAAATAATTCAGCGGATGATATAGTCCACTGACTCATGCCCAAAGATCCATAAATGTAAATGTATAGGCATTTTATCACATTACCACTAAGACCAGATGAGGGTATTATTTGAAAGCCAAATGTCACAAAAGCTTGCCTCAAAGGATAAGATTCTAAAAACTAAGTTTTGCAGAGATGATGCAGAAGATGATGCTGTTAAAGTGCTGCACTGTTATTATATTTTCTAAAACTACAGCATTGTGAAAATCAGTTGTTTTTATGGCCTTTGTATCTGATTGAACATCTTCTGCATATTTTATCTATCTCTTGATACCTTTAACATCAGGTATGTGCAACAGGTCGGAAGGCACATTATAATTAGCCATTAGAGACATAAGCTGTGTAGTTCACCGCTCAGATATTTCTTTTGACAAAAAACAATGAAACTTCCTTAGCAACCGATGCAGCCTTACTTGCATATTGAAATAAGTACCAATTATGGGAATACTGCAAACCCAGTACCTCGTAGTCTAGAATGAAAGATAAGAGGAAAGCTGGGGCTTTTAAGTTCTTTGACAATACTGTCATCATAAAAATTAAAGAGGAAGAGTGTCAACAAACATTCCCATGACATGGTATTTTGTTAGTCAGATAACCAATTATACTCACTGTGGTTCTTTACATCCATAATAATATATAGTCTCTTAAGCAGAAGAGACTGAACCATGCCTCGGATCGGGCCGGAGCACGCCGGTATGTCACTCCGGGAAAGAGGCGGGGGAGGCGGGGGGGCGGTCACATGGTGAAGTCCCGCCCCCTTCTTACGGCCGCCCTCTGCTTCCAGCCTCATTTTGTTCCAGAACGAGGAAGAAGCAGGAGGGTAAGTCGGCTTCCTCCCCCCCGTCTCTGCCTGGCCAAGACTGCTCCAGCAGCCTCCGCTAGGCCTCCAGGGCCAACCCAGACCTTCCTGGAGGTGCGCGAAGCCGCACACCCCAGGAAAAATCTCTCCCCCCGTCTCTGCCTGGCTGAGGCTGTTCTCGGTGGCAGCTGTGACGCCAGGGGGGGCCTGAAACGTTCTCCTGCCTCCCTGAGCCCCGGGGTGGGGGCCTTGGACGCATAGGGGCAAATTCCACCTCTCGCAAGAGGTCATTCTGGCTCTCCCAGCTGTCCTTAGGGGCTCTTTAAAAAGCTATGGCCGGCAGCTGCAACCACCGTGGGGGGTGTGTGTCTGCTGAGCTGCCCTCCCTGCCTTTTTCAGGCTCCGCGCCGGAGTGCCGGGCCTGAAAAATGGCCTGCAGAGCCACCACCCCCACCCTCCCCATCTTTTTCAGGCTCCGCTCTAGAACGCCAGGCCTGAAAATGGGCCATTGAAGTCAATTTTGGCCCCATTATATCCTATGGGCCATTGAGGTCAATGGTGAAAACATAGGGCATATTCTGGGGGCTGGAGGGGAGGGGGTTTGAAGGAGAGGCTCCAAACCCGCAGGGTAGCTGCTGGAGCCTCTCCCCAAGATACCAACCAAGTTTGAAGAACATTGGACCTGGGGGTCCAATTCTACGGACCCCAAAACAGGTTGCCCCTATCCCCTCCATTGTTCTCTATGGTGGGAAAAAGTAACTTTTAAAAAAATAAGCCCTAAACTCCTGAATAACATTTTGCAAAGTCCTGTAAACTGACCAATTTTGCCAGCCTGTTTGGTTGGTCTTTGTGGGTTAGCAAAGCTTTAGGTTCTTGAATAGCATTATATCATTGTATAACATCACTTATGGATGCAACCAACTCCCCTTCCTTTGCTGGGAGAAATGTGCATGTTAATCTAAGGTGCAGCAGTACTCACTTCTGTTGAGAAAAACAAGTCTTGCTATTTTCCTGACTGGGCAATTAAAGCTAGAGAACAACTCTTGGGACATTATCTGAAAGAAACACCATTGAAATGCTTGGTGGAGCTGGAAGAAAAAGAGAAAAGATTACCTGTGTATGATGTCTGTCCAAAGATCAGTGTTCCTTCCACAGGAATATAGCCTTTCCCACTGGGGCAAATCTCAATATATTCCACTGGCAAACATGAAGAAGAGGGGGGGGGAGAAACAGGACAGAGGGAGAAAGAGGGAGCCGATTATTATCCCACTTAGGCTTGCCAACCCCCAGAGGGGGCCTGGAATTCTCCGGGAATTACAACTGATCTCCACACTACAGACACAAGTTCTCTTGGAGAAAATGGCAGCTTCGGAGGGGGTGGTATGGTATACCATGGATTCTAAATGAAATCCCTCCCCAAATTCTCCCTTCCACAGGCACCCTCCACCCACACCACCCCCAAAATTCCAGGAATTTCCCAGGCTGGACTTGCCAACCTTCATACTACTCCATTGGGACAGAGGCAAGCAGGGGCATCTTTTCTCCTAGCCGGGATCTCTTTGAGAAGAAAACAGTATTGGGCAAGTGCTGTACCTGAGCCCATGACAGGGCAGGGATGAGTCTCGCAGGTGTCTCCCCAGGCTGCTCCTTCAGTGCAGCAGCATTCCTCCTTGGTGGTGTTGTTGGCCAAGACACTGTCACACAGCGGGACATCACTGATGTGGTAGTAGCACTCTTTCCCAGGAAGCAAAGAAACAGGCCTTCCAGGTTCCTCTGAGATTGGGGGAAATAAAAGTGGAATGTAGTGGGCGTTGGAAGTAAAGGATTGCGCAACATCTCTTTGCACCAAGCACATCAGTACTCCAGAGGGGACACTACAGCTAGTAAATTGGACACATCAGATCCCTATGCATCCTTCCCCTTGTCTGTTTTGCTGCTATCTTTTCATTTACCCTGAATGTTATTCTCAGGGACTTCATTTCTTACGGCTAGGTTTCTTTTTCCCCTGTCTTTGTCCTTTCTGACCTCCATAAGACCAACATGAGCTCTCTGACGCTGTCTCCATTTCAGCTTAGATGTACAGCCAGAATGTCTCGCTCGATTTCTTTAACAATAAAGGGCACTCATTTCTTTTCTAAGGCAACAAGGCTTGTGTGGACTTGATTCTAAAAGCAGCCAACTGTTAAGAGTGGAAACATCCATTGATAACATTCCGCTGGGCAATTAGCCAGAACTCTGGATTTGTAGGGAAGTTCCTAGAGGTTTCATTAATGCAGTTAGGCTACCAGAGTGCGTCTTCCTAAAGGCATTAAACCACATTCTCTATTTTCACACTGTACATGCATAGCTACTTGTTTGTT